TGTTATATAATGTGTCACGCATATTATTCAAAGAAAATGGTGTTTCAGTAAACATGAAATCAGTATGACCTTTTATTATACTCAAATCTTGTAGAAAGAAACTTTCAAATGCCAAATGTGACTTAAGTTCTTTACATAAATTAAACTGAATGAATACAGGCAACCGTAATACCTACCGCAAAGCACAGAATCTTCATTGAGAAAGAGTTTGATTCAAAAATCCATGTCCTGCTGCCGTTGCTAAAGCACCTGGAAAAAAGAAAAAGAATATAGATCAAAAATGTAAAAGGCGAGTTGGAAGAAGATGGAAATAATAAAATCCGAAATTAATTCTGAGAAGAACATGGTAGTACCCATTTTCCATCTATCTCAACGTCGAGGATGTTCCATTTGAGGTAAGAATCGGAAGACATTGGGGCCTGTCCATGTCTTATCTTAAACCCATCAATGGTGAATTCATATCAGAAACCAAATGAAAAACAAAAGCTAGTCTTCTGCTTCCAACACATTTGTTTACTGCAAACAGAAGCTATGCCTGGGATAACAAAATGATTCAGATGGATAGAACACATATAGCAAAGCTTGCTTCCTCAACAATGTTGCGCAACAGAAATTTGAGCAGTGAAAAAGTCTTCCAAACTGCTGGCAGAGGGTACAGCAATTTTCCAAAATCTATGGAAACTAACTTATTTTCCCATTAAAAAGAGCCTTCAGCTTCTAATCATAAAGGATCTCTCTCTTGTATAGTCTTCAGTCTTGTACTCTGGATTCTGCAAAGAAGGAATCAATGTGATTTAGCAAATAATGATGTGTGTGCAATATTTATTTTTGGTTATACCAGTACTTCAGCTATCATATAGTCTCCTGAGCAAAATTTAAACAAAATCAAACTAAAAAATCAACGTTTCCTTTTACTTAATTTCATTCAGCCTTATATTGTTGACAGAAGTTTATAAATATCAAATTTATCATAAGAGTCCTGATTAGGAAAAATGTAACATCTTTTACACATCCAGAAAAAATAGAAGGGCGCACTTCAAATACATTATAAACAGATTAAGCTTTCTAACATTAAGCTTCTTGAAATTCTTCAAAATGTATATCAGGAAAAAAATAATTTAGGAATTCTCAACAGCCAGAGGAAACCAAGTTTTTTTTTTTTTTTTTTTCTTTCATCCAAGATAAGGTTTTTGATTGTCATGCAATGAAAATGCCTTTATATCACTCAACATATCAGAATTTATTATACAATTTTCTTCATATTAAGCAGAATTCAGTTAACAAATCTGATGTCCTGAACAAAATTATCAAGAAAGTCAAACAATAAAATCAGTATTAGCTTTTTATATAACTCAGCCTTGCACAAAGAAACTTGCTAATAGAAATGCAGCATGAGTCCTCCTTCCAGCTTGAAACTCTCGCAGCAGGGCATGCTTGAGCTTGAGAGAATCAGATTACAAGCTCATCATTATCTTTATCTATTCTACATATTTTAACT